GCGAGAGTCTAGTCCACGAAGCGTTCAACGACGTCATCGTGCCAACTATTGGCTCGGTAGCAAACATGCTTAGTAGCGCGAATGCAAAAAATGGCTTATTTGGCTATCAGATGCTCAAGAGCAACAACAACAAAGTTTATCAAAATCTCTTACCTATAGTAAGCACCATGACATGATCCTCCACGAGTGGTCCTTTAGGCATTGCAGCATAACAGAGATCACCCACGCTGACCACCAAGTGCTTTTCCACGTCCACATTCGACAAACAAAACCAACACGGAGCTGCAGGCACTTTTTCGCCAGTAGGGAAATCTGTAACATTTACCAATGAACACAAGTAATTTTGGTCCCATCTTGGTTAAGAAACAACAATCAACCGACCATTCTTTCGCCGTTTCCGTCCACCTCGATCCACCTTGTCCTCAATTTCTTCAGACATATCGAAACGATATCGATCCACAACGTTGTAAGTTTTGTTTCTTTTGAGCTGTTCCCTTAAAGAGTACGAATCATAACCTCCAAGAGGAAAGAAAGCGGAGCTGGGGTAGTGCCAAGTGGTGCTGCTTACCATGCATTAAAACTCGGATCAAATCCTGCGCCGTAATTTGTCATGGTTGACCAAGTTCCTTCCCTCCGGGTTCGGTTAAGTGGTACCAGACTAGTTTGGGGGACAAAAACACTGACTTGAAGATCGGCTGGCGACCTAATTGTATAGCCAAATTGCATTCAACTTGCCCACTAAGATTTTGAATGAGGATAGAATACATACGCATCCAGACGGGATCTGGCGATCTCAATACGGGACTGATCAACGCAGGATTTATTCTCCTCCAGTTCCCAAGCTTAACTATGGTGTGATCTCAATGCCGTTCCACCAGAGTCAACCCTGCGTTGCGCAGTTCGCAACGGCACGTTGAGAGATCCTCAACGCACGCTGTATGGGCGGAGACACAGACGGCTCGAGCATGCGAGTGTGAATGTTCGCGCGAGAGAACGTGTCTAATCGGGCGAAACTGCGCAACGTGGCCGTTGAGAACTGCGCAACGCAGGGTTGACTCTGTTCCAGCGGCGAAACGCGACCGCATGCGTTCCTACGAAACCCACTTATGTACGAAAATGTAGCAGCAAGGTGGGATATGACTGGCAGAACAAAATGAGTGAAATAAAAATTATCAGACTCACTCAGCCATGAATTTCTCAAGAATGTCCATGTAGGGAAATTCTGAAGAGTTAGGCGGTTGGGCGGTAAGTTCATCACGAGTCATCTTGCGCAGCGGCTGAAATGATGACATTCTACAATACTCCAACCTTGACATCCAATCACTGCACATAAAACCAATTCTAAGGAAAGAGTAGGAAGAACGATTACAGCGTTAGCTTGGTAACAAGTTTATGAATAAAGAAACATGAAGAAAGCCAACGGGACAGGCAACGATGACCACCTGAATGTTGAAGGCATAAAGCCATTTCTGCTTCTTGTCGTTGACGACTGGAGCCAAACCAATAAATCTAGTCACGTGCTGAGCTGGCTCTAATAGAACACGGTGATTCCTAGAAAGAGTAGCCTGTTTTGATGAAGTCAAAGTCGGATAAATAGAAAGGTTTCCCGATACCTGTAGGGCTGTCGTTCGTAGTGGACTCCCATACCAGCAAAATGATATCGAGGTTTCAGGCCGGACGCGAGTCGAGATATCAGTCGTGAACCTTTAATTTCAACAGAAGGAGTGTTGTGAGCATGCTTCCATACCTGAAAAAGGTTAACTAGTAATCATTTGAAAGGAATCATCCTGAAGTAGGTGCCCCAAGAAAATGCGGTTACGATTTCTTCCTAGTAGGTGTGTTTCCGGGTTATTTGACAACCCCCCCCCCCCTCCCCCGGGAGAGTGCGTCGGGGCTTTAGAGATGCGATATGTCGAACATTCGCCGGTGGAAAATTTAAAATTCATAGGAAACGAGCACTCCCTCCATCAGCTGATCAATTTGCAAACCGAAATATCGCAGTGGGTTTCCGCATACGAGCACGGTTTACGGACTACTTGAACTTTCTTCCATGGTCCTGCCACGAATGGCGGAGGGCACAGACAGTTAGAGAACGGCGCCTGGCTCGGCTCCAAATCCCAGGAAGGAGGTGAGAGCCCTAGGACTAAGCCTTGTAGGAGGGAGGGACTTCGAGGTGGGTGAGCCAACTACAGTGTGGCAAAAGTTTGAATGTGTGAGATCACAATGGTCATGAGCCGCTGATAAGGTGAGAGAGCGCAGACGAGAGATGGATCTGAGCCGGCTTAAAGCAACAGTCCTAGCAGGGTGGGCGTGGTC